GAGTGCGGCAACTACCGGGACATCTCTCTCGTCGCACACACCGGCAAGGTGCTGCTTAAGGTCGTTGCTACACGACTGAACCACTACTGCGAGCGAGAGGGCATCCTCCCGGAGGAGCAGAGCGGTTTCCGCCCACACCGGTCGACGCTACATGCTGTGCGCGATCCAACGGCTCAATGGGCTCGCGAGGAAGAAGAGTACTGCGGTGTTCGCGTGCTTCGTCGACCTCACCAAGGCGTACGATTCGGTGGACCGAGACCTACTGTGGGACGTGCTCCGACGCTTCGGCGTGCCCCCGAAGATTCTGGCGGTCACTCGCCACTTCCACGAGGGCATGAGGGCGCGCGTCCGAACGTACGACGGGCAGTACTCGGAATGGTTCGACGTGGGCCAACGCCTCCGACAGGGATGCAACCTGGCCCCGCTGCTGTTCAACTTGTTCTTTGCCGCGATGCTCATGGTCGCCGGCCGAGTTCGAAAAGGACCCCAAGGTGACGGGGGACATGGTCAAGATCGGAACACAAGTGGAGTACACGGGCAAGAAGGGCAGGTCGGCGGGGAAGAAGACGACGGTGGTGACGGACGCGNCGCCGGCCAGACGTACAAGCAGACAGATCGGTTTGTGTACCTCGGACGTACTCTCCGCGGACGGGAAGGCCGACCGGGAGATCACGAGCCGCAGCTGCCGAGCGTGGAAGGGCTACCGCCGGAACAGTGCTTCGATGTACGACAGGCAACGGGCCGACCGCCAGCTCAAGATCCGGCTACTCCAGGCTGAAGTGATGTAGACTCTCCTATTTGGGTGCGCCTCGTGGAGCCTAACAGCGGAGAACTACACGGAGCTCAATGGGACCCACCGACAGTTCCTTTCACGGTGCATCGGCTGGAGCAAGCGGAAACGCTCAGACCGCCCCCTGTCCTATGCCCAGGCCCTCATCCAGGCCGACTGCGAGGAACCATCGAGGCCACCGTGCGCAAACGGAGACTGTGTTTCGCGGGCTTTGGTATGCGCATGGAGGACAGCCGCCTCCTCAAGCGCATGCTGCTAGGAGCGAAGGCGGAGGGCGTGGGATACCGGGGCGGGTAGGACAGCGACTGGGTGTCTCGTCTAGGAGAGGACCTCATGGCCTTCAACATGGGAGACGGAAAGGAAGGGGGGTAAATGGAAAGAGAGCGACAAGGACCAGGAGGTGTGGTACAACAAGGTCGAGGACGGGGCGGCATGGTTCATGACGAAATGTCACAAACAGGAGGCGGAAGCGTCCGCGAAGCGCCAGCGCGAGGGAAGCAGAAGCAGAGAGTTCGGCCATCTCAGGACCGAAGAGAAAGAGAGTCGGGGAAGCGGCGGTGGGGGGGAAGAAACGGCGACCGGGCACTGCTGTAGAAGCGAGTAGGGCGGCCGAGGCAGCACTTGTGGCGAACTATGTACCCGGCTGATGATGTTGCGCCCTGTTTCCCTCCCTGCTGCATTATATATTCCTGTGTATAATGTCCTTTGTATTGCCTTCGGCCTCTGCGCCGCGCTTCTTTTTTCATGTCCTCCCTGCCTACTTGTTGCTGTTGCTTTCGTTGTTGTACATCTGGCTGTCTGCCCATCTGCCGCCTCTTTTTTCTGTTGCCTCCATTGCTCTCATTCCCTGGTGCGTAGTGCCTGGTGCTGGTATGTTACCCATTGATTTTTTTAGGCGGGTGTGGGAAGCGTCCCCCTTTTTATTTATCTTTATTCTTGATTTGTTTATTTTGATCGGTTTCCAAGGGCTTTTTTCTCGGCCGGTCGGTGCGGTAGCTGTCCTTTTCTTTCCATCATTTTGTTTTCTTTTTCCGAGTGGTTTGTACCCTATTTTTGCTTTTGTTTCCCCGCGGCGTCGTATGTGCCGGGTTTTTGCGACCACGGGCTCCCCATTTTTGTGGACTAATGGGCTAATGTGAGAAGCAACAACAACAACAGCAACAACAACAACAACAACAACATACCGGTCAGCGCACAATCTTGGAGAGAGAGGTGCCACGGGAGGAACTTCTTGGACGCCACGGGTTGGTCCGCACCTACTTGTCATTTCTCGCCTCCGGCGAAAACTGTAACTACTGCTGTGTGTGGTAGACTGTTGTTGTTGTTGTTTTCCTTGGGAGAACATCGTGTCAGTTCGGAGTACGACGAAAAAGGTCGATCACAGATAAAATTATATGCTCTAGGCGCTTATTGGTGGGTCGGTGAGCTCTTAGACCTGCTGTTAATGTGCCGTAGTTCAACAAACCCATTATGCCAGAGAGGTGGTAGGGACGTAGGGACTGGCGATTTATTTCGCTTGAAGCTGGCGCGGCCGGCACGTCGTCAGAGCACTTCAAACAGCATTGGTTGCCTCCTTCTTTGAACGCGAGCACCTACTCTTCTTTCGCTGCAACAGGGGGGGGAGGGGGGGGGGGGGGGGG